GACTTTTCGATGATACAGTACGATCAACTCGGGCGTACTGCATATGTGATGACAGTCATGTAGAACACGTCCTTGGTCTCATCTCTGCCCTTCAGCCAGTCTGACATGCTCGGAAGAGAAGAGGTTACGGTGCTCTAACCCAAGTTGCAGTGTTCAATACATTCAAACAAAAGGATAGTACTAGTAATTATTAGCGGCGAATGAGGCACGTTCCTCGATTGTTTCTAAAAGCTCTAGTTTCCGTACAATTTCGAAGGAAACTGCCGCTGCTGTAATATCACATCGATAAGGAAAATGGTTCCATTTACATGCATAGCAGAGCAGCGTCACAATGAGGGACAATAATTTGATTGGACATGTCAGTCGTCTTCAGCCACGTGATTTGACTCACAGTCGTAGTGGTTTTAGGTTGGTGCGCAAGCGGATGTGACGCAGAGCATCTGGCAACCGAAGTTGACCGAACACTCAAACTCAACCTTACAGAATGATAATCTGATTACAAATGCGAACTGACAAGCGGTACTACCATCTGTACCAATCTCGAATCAAAGGACGATGAAAACTCATCATCCTGCCGTCCACCCTCTTCGTAAAACCTAATGATTACATGACAACAAAATGGATTATCTGGTTGAAACTCGATTGCCAAGGCTATTAACTACAGCACTGTCATAAATAAAAAATATTGAACTATCATAATCAGCGACACGCGTAGCGGGAACGCTTATTTTGGATGTATATGCGACAGAATTTGATGAGTTGCGTCTCCGAAACCTTCCAGCACAAAAGCTGTCGATGAATCTTCTAGTAAAGCACGTGACATTCTTTTGAAACATCATGCTGGATGTTATGCATCTCCGGTTTCCCTCAGAAATATTTCATAAAGGTAAAATTATTTCGCTCCTTTAAAGCAGTGTTCAAGTTCAGCAATAACTAGTACTTTTGATAAAGGCACCATCAATTTGTCTGGTCAAAGCAATTCTCATTTGCTCGCCTGCGTTCACATATCAGTTCTGAAAACACTCGATTCTTGTCAACAATAACATTTGATCCTGTGAGGGAGATTACTCAACTGTTGTAACAAAATGAACACCTTGAAAGCAAAATATTTGTTGCACCAACCCTTGTTTACTCATTTAGACTGCGATGCAAATTTCGTGATGGTATGCATCAAATGTTCCTCACCGTAGAAAGAACCGTTGCACCGATTATGCTGAACTCTCAAATATTCTTGTATATTTATTTCACAGAAATATCATATTGAACGTTCCATTAAGCAATTTAAAGCATTTAATACCTTTGGCGCCATTTGGGTAATCAAGATCAAGAAAGTGTGACATCATAATGATAAAAAACATGTATATTCATGTTATTGCGTTTTGAACTGAGGAATGGCATTCTTCATGCAGTCGCTCCTCTCATAAATTTGGCATCGTCCATTATTTCCTTCTTATCGCACGCGAACGGAACCATTTCAAAGCGGTTCGATGTAAAACAAATGCATTTCGCAAATGCCCATTATCCTCAGTATCGTCTGATGTGTAATCGGCAACGTAACTTAAAAATGAGTTCAGCTGCTGGAAACAAACCTCCGGAAAAGCTCTTCATATTGCTGATGAGCACTTCTTCGTTTTTTTACCCCCTGTCATTTTACTCTTTCATGGTTGCATAGATCATGCCTACATAGGAGTTTTTCCCACTTAATAAGCAGTGTTGACTTAGTCAACTTTAGTAGGTAAATCTTACACACCATCATTGTCTTCAGAATCATTGCAATCGTGCTCCTCGTCGTTGTCGTCCTCTTCATTCTCATCTATATATAATCATAGGCATCATAATAATCATTATCATAACCATCGTCATCGTCAGCATCATCTGTTTCCTTAGTGCTTCAGTGCTAGGAACACGCATTACGTGGTTCATCCAGTACACACGAAATTCATATAGCTGGTCACTGTTGGTATTTTTGCAAAACTGAGCACGTGAAGTCATTCCCGGTGGTAAGCTTCTTTACGGAAGCGTTCCACCATTTCCTGCAAATTGACATAGACGACTGGACCTTGAGGACCAGCGATTTCTGTATGTTTTATGACATATTTGCTGCAGTTTCGTTTCATCCTCGATGCCCAGATGTCCATCCCGATGTCGGACCTTCATTTTCAAACGTAATCAAATTGTCATTCTTTTCCATATGCATTAGGTGTACATAGTAAATTATTCTTTGCTTTTCGCAACACTCCAAAGAAACTTTACGTAAAGGGAGAAATGAACAACGAA